AGGTAGAATATAATTGTTGCCTCATTAAAAACTTTGCCTGAAAAAACCCATGTGGGACAAAATCTGATATAAGGGAAAAAGAGTGCAACGCATACTTTAAAACCTAAGGCCTTCGTGCGAATAGGGCATCTTAGATAGCTTCGATCGAAAATCTGCAATGAGTTAGTTTTAAACTTAAATGTACAAAAAGGATAAAACCATACCTTAGCAGTAGTATCGTTTGAGTAACGATATGTTCCGATTGTTTGGCAGTTGTTCGCTTCCATCGTGCTAAGTTTGTAAGATCCTTTGCCGACCACTCCGAGGACTCGGTATGGTCCTTCCCAGTTCGGGCCTAGATTTCCTTCGTTCGGGTCTCGAGTATTGAGGGTAACTTTCCGTAGAACTAAGTCCCCGACTCTAAAATGCCGGAGGTTGGTCCTTCTATTATAGTATCTTCGATCCTTTGCTTTTGCGCGGCCATTCGAACAAGTGCTGCTTCTTGTTTTTCATCTACCTTCGGGGTATGAAGCAAAGGCAGGCTCGACAGATATTGCTTTAGTTCTTGATGACATTCCGGGGTCCACACGAAGTCCTTTTTCTTTTTGAGCAAGGAGAAAAACCGGTGATTCCGATCCGGTGATTCCGATCCGACGACCTCAAAATGAATCGACCCAAAGCATCTATTTGCCATGTTAGGCTTTGCACACTATCCATGATCACGATACCTTCGATAGCCTTGATCCTATCGGGGTTGATTTCGATACCCCGATTTGACACCACAAAGCGGAGGAACTTACCCGAGCTAACTTCGAAGGCACATTTCTCCGGGTTAAGCTTCGTGTTGTAATGCCTCAAAATTTTGAATGTTCCCTGCAAATGAATTAAATGGTCCTCTGCGCGCAAGGACTTAACCAACATATCATTAATATAGGCTTCCATTGTTTTACCTATTTGTTCTTCGAACATTTTGTTAATTAGGCGTTGGTACGTAGCTCCTACATTTTTAAGCCCGAAGCGCATTAAGTTGCAACAATAAGTCCAAATTTAATAATAAATGAAGTCTTTTCCTGGCCCTCCGGGTTCATCTGAATTTGATTGTACCCGGAGTAGGCATCGAGAAAAGTTAAGACTCGTGGCCGGCCTTGGCATAGATCATATGATCGATGTCTGGCAATAGGAAAGAATCCTTTGGACATGCCTTATTCGAGTCCTTATAGTCTACACACATTCTAAGTTTGTTTCCTTTTTTCGGAACTACAACTACGTTGGCTAACCACTCGGGGTATTTCACCTCCCGAATGGATCCTATTTTAAGGAGTTTGGTTACCTCGTCATTTATGAAGGCATGTTTTACCTCGAACTGAGGCCTCCTCTTCTGCTTCATCGGTTTGAACCTGGGATCGGTGCTCAGCCGATGCGTGGTGATTTCCGGTAGAATCCCTGTCATATATAAATGGGACCAAGCAAAGCAATCCATATTATTAATAAGAAACTGAATGAGTTTTTTCCTGAGTTTGGGGTCAATCTCGTTCCCAGGTATACCTTTTTCTCGGGCAAGTATTCGATAAGTACGATCTGCTCCGGTTCCTCGGCAGTGGACTTGGTTGCATCGGACTCTTCGGGAACGATGAAAGTTCGAGGAGTAAGGAAGACCTCTTCTTCGTCCTCGATTACCTATTGTTCCAACTCCGTTGAAGCCGGGGGCTGCGATTGCTATTTAGCCGCCCGCTTACCTTTGGTGCTCGATTTCTCCGAGGTCAAGGACTCTGGTATCGGCACCGCTTCCTCGATCGCAAACCTCTCTTTTGCATCATGTTTCTCTCCGTAGACTATTTTTACTCCTTCCTCCGTCGGGAACTTCATCATCTGGTGAAGAGTTGAAGGTACTGCCCTCATGTTGTGTATCCATGGTCTCCCGAGGAGTGCGTTGTACCTCATGTCACCTTCGATGACATGGAACTTGGTGTCTTTTATGGTCCCGGCAACGTTTATTGGCAAGATAATCTCTCCTTTTGTCGTTTTGCTTGCCATGTTGAAGCCATTAAGGAACCGGGATGCAGGTACAATCCGATCTTGTAGGCCGAGTTGCTCCACAACGCTCGATCTGATTATGTACGCTGAGCTACCTAGATCCACTAAAATACGTTTAACTTGAATTTTATTTAAAAGGATAGAGATTACTAGGGCGTCGTTATGGGGCTGAGATATGTCTTCTGCTTCCTCGTCACAGAATGATAGGACATCCTCGGGCACATAGCTCCGAGTCCATTTTTCTCTTGTGATTGACACTTTGGTTCGTTTGAATACAGGTTGTTGAGGGACATCGACTCCGCCAATGATCATGTGGATTACATGTGGTTCTTCTTGCTCATTTCTCCTTGCATCTCTCTCCTTGAAGTGATTCTTAGCCCGGTCACTTAGAAATTCTCGAAGGTGGCCTCGTTGAACAGACGAGCCACTTCTTCCCTTAGCTGCCTGCAATATTTTGTTCTATGACCATGTGTGCCATGATACTTGCACATCAAGTTTGGGTTCCTTTGAAGGATCGGTCTATATAGGCCTGAGCCACTTGGTGTCTTTGATTTTTCCTATAACTGACACAATCCCTGATGCATCTACGCTGAAGTTGTACTCCGATAACCGAGGTGCCTCCGCGGGATCGGTATGCTTATCGAATCCATTTTTACTCATGAGTCCCCGAGAACTTTGACCCCGATCGTTCCGAGGAGCGTTTCGACCTGAACCGAGGTTCCTTCGATCGGCATATGGCTGATACCGTTCCCTGTTCGATCTCGATTCCATGTTCGTATCCCTCGGGGGCTCCCAACTGGTCCTCCTCGACCCTGATTTTTGATTGGTATCGGTTGTGCACATCTGACCACGTCACAGCTGGATACTCGATCAAGTTCTGCTTCAATTGTCAAAAGGCAATCGAGCTCCGTTCGTTCAAACCTTGCATAAAGGCCTGTACTGCCAGTCATCGGAGACCGGTGGTATTTCCATTCTTTCCATCTGAAACCTGGACACGAACTCCTCAACATCTCATCGTCCCTTTGTTTTATCTTGAAGACGTCTGATTTCCTCGTGGCCACCTTTATGGCCCCGGCATGTGCTTTCACAACGGCATCTGCTAACATAGCAAATGAGTCAATAGAGTTAGGAGGTAAGTTGTGGTACCAAATCATGTCTCCTTTCAACAATGTTTCTCCGAAATTTTTCAACAAGACTAATTCAATCTCGGCGTCATTCAAATCATTTCCTTTGATCCCACAAGTGTACGAAGTAATATGCTCGTTAGGGTCGGTCGTCCCGTTATATGTGGGTATGTCGGGCATGCGAAATTTTTTAGTAATGGGCATCGGAGCCGCACTTTGGGAAACAGTTTTTGTATGAACTTTTTGGCATCTAATCCTTTCAAAACTGGAGGCGCCCCGGGTATCTGGTCTATACGGGAGTTATAAGTCTCCACCTTCTTATCGTTATCTTCAATTTTCTTTTCTCCGGACTCAATCCTCTTAGTGAGCTCTTCGAGCATCTTCATAATCGTGGGGTCAGTCCCCGAGCCGCTTTCATCGGGCCTTTCTAGCGCTGGCTCAGCACGTCGATTGTTTTCATGTTCAGCTACACTCGAAATCTTATTTTGACTTTGAAGTTGAGCAATGGCGATCTGTTGAGCTTGCAACATTTCGAATATCACTTGGAGGCTGATTCCTCCATCACCCACGCCTAGTGTTCCTTGGTCACCAGGTCGGGCTTCCCTGCGTTCACTCCCTCCGGGGTCTATGCCTAAATCCGCGTTAAGAGCAATATGAGAACTAGCATCAACTGGTTCCATGTTTGGCACTTCCCCAAGGTTTACTGGTGGTACACCGAACCCTAAATTGTTGTTTTTGCCACTTCATTGTCATGAATAGGTGCATTCTGTGAGCTAGACATGTTTCAGCCTAAGAATCAAAAATTCTTGACAAGAAAAAGTGTAAAAATAACGCGTGTAATAAGGATCAGTAAAGAAACAATCACTATTATCTTTAGCCCCACGGTGGATGCCAAACTGTTTACCTCGAAAATACGAGTAACAATTAGATTTGATTTGTGGTTTTAAAGATATGTGATTTAGTTCAATACCAATTAATAATCAAGAAATATGAAGTAGAAGTGAAAAAGACAAGTGAATCAAACCAATATTACTTGACAGTACTGACCTCGAGATGGTGACCTCGAGACAAATTAATAGCAATAAAGTAAGACAAGTAAAGCAAGAGCAATAGAGCTAAAGGACAATGCTGATGAATAGTAAGCAAAAAGTAGAGAGTATATTCTTTTCTCAGTGATTATGTGTCTTTACAAATGATTGGGGTCCCCTTTATATAATAGGGGAATCCCTAAATAAGGTATATTTCTATTTACAGTAAGAAATATTCTTGATACAGCTGTCTAACCGCTTAATCGTACAATCCTATTCCGGGATTTGCACCATGATATTTGGGGATGTGGCAGGAATCTAGCTCATTCCGTTACAAATTCTTAACAGTACTATTTCGGGGTCGAGCATACTTGGCCCCAGTATCCCTCGTACTCCTATCTCCGGGCATTGCACTCTGTCTTTGAGCTCGATTCTAGTCCACTGGTCTCAAACTCGACCTCCCCCGATCTCGGGCCTATGACGGACCCTCGAGCCTATAAATCAGAGGCATATGATTTTGACCATATACAAAGTCCCTTGTGTGCCGTATATTATTAGTATAATTTCGTAAGGAAAATGAAAAGAAATACTCCATTCCTTTGCAGGTCATGTATTTCAGAAATAATATTGTTGTGACAACTTCAATCTCATGAATGAGGATGCAATGAAATAATGGGCCATAATATAATTAGTTTCACACCAAGATATCATGTTATAAAAACTGAAAGTAAGAAGAGACAAGCAACGGGGGGCAAAAGATGAAGTGCCATAATCATGTCCGATCACTGCAAATAAGAATTAGAAAGTCATCCAAGGAAGTTTTACTACAATATGAAAACAGCAAAGGCTCGTTGATATATAGCTGTATACATTTATCAGTTTCCTAAGATCTACAAAGAATGGTTGTTTACACTTGACTTTACATGTTGATGGATGTACAGTTCATACTTTACAAACTGAGAACTTCTTGGAGATAGACATTTTAAAGAGTCCTTAAAATTTACATGCAGGCTCCAGAGATTGGAGAAATGTGGAAATATCAGAAGATGGTGCTCCACAAAGCATTCTCACCTTCCCCACAACGGCGATGAACCTCCTTAATCCTCTCTACAGACTTGCAAATACCACTGCAGCTCCAATCAAAGGAAGCAACACAGATGTTGCCTGCTTGAGCTTTCAACTCACAATCTGTTAATATATAGATAATCAAACAAGTGTAAACAACTCCACAACTTGGATAAAATAGGGTGATAAGGAGATTTATGAACAGAACTTAGGTCAGAGATATACTCAGAGAAGCAACTCAAGAATCCGCCAGATATGCTTACTTAAAAAAGCAAAGCTAAATCAGTAAATGCGATTTCTCAAAATATATTTAATAAGCAACATATTTGGAAGACTTCTGTATACAGTTTCAGTCATTTCTTAGCAGGAAGTGCAGGCAACCATGTTCAGAAATAATCCCAATGTCCACGTTCAATATAACTCGACCTCTATATCAAGGGGAAAAAAAGAAAGAAAGAGGCATAGGAACTCTAATATAAGAAACCCTTTTCGTTTACACAAAATCATGGACAATAGTGTTATTGGAGAATATCTGACTCGTATATCAAACATCGACTTTAAGGCTGATGATAAAACCCCTTTTGAACACAGAATAATCATCAACAGACTCTCCCTTTCTTATTGATCTTAAAGATAAATAACAGATATAAGCAGATGACACTTGAATTGACAATCATCAATGCTCGATGCAGATTAAGAAGTCATAATTTTCATGAATCATAGGGCTGACTGCATCTGAGAAATAGGGAGTTGGAAGTTGTTACCAGGTGGAGTTCCACAACACAATTTACGGTCATCTATATGTTCCACATCCAATCCAATGAACCATGATCCCAATGTTACATCCTCGTTAGCATACTTATGTAGAATATGCCTAGGTAACTTATTAAAGATCAGAAAATGATACTTTATTTAATTAACAACAAACGATCCAAGCCCATAAGAAAACAACAAACGCTTACCGGTTTATAGATATATAGGTGGCCAGATCTTTTGAGATGGCATACAGCTGGCCTGTTGCATGTCGGAAATACCTGTTTCCGTCCTCACCAAATTTCCAATGCTCAGGTTCATGATATCTCACTCCCCTACAAGTAAAAGGAGGACAAAAATGGAATAAGTATAGGAAATCTCATCAGCGTGCATTTACAGACAAATTCTAGTAAACCCTCTCTGCTTACTTCTGCGCAAGGACAGGACCAGACTTCATGCAACCAATATATACCCTGGGTTTTGAGCGATGTCTAGTTAGACTTGCCGCGAGCGCTCCTGAAGTTTTGAATACATGCAGGTTAATCGTGAAAGCAAAGACACTTCACGTGTAGAAATAGAAGCATGGTATTTAGAATCAATAAGGGCTGCATTTACCAATATTTACATGCACATCGTCATCAACTTTGACATAGAAATTTGCATCCCAGAGAGACATAGCAGTAGTAAAATAGCTCTTTGTCTTGGCTGATAGTTCAAGGTATCCCTCAACATGTTCCTAATGGAGTTCAATTGACATGTCAGCTTTTGAGGAACAAACTGTCTCCTCTTTTTCATTGTTTTTAAGAGGGGCAGGAGTCGACAAGAAAGCATTAACGTTACCAGCCTCAGGAAATCTCCATGCATCTTTTCTTCTGCTTCAATTGCTCTATCAAGAATGCCACCTGATGTTGCACTGGTGAAATGATAATTAAATGAGTAATATATAAAAGACCAAGAACCTGACAATAGATAGGAGAAACATACAAATAATCCATCTAACATCTTTGATTATTATAGAATTCTGAACAGTACAAGAAATTATGAACTACATTTTTAATCATCAACACATGCCTTAAAGAAACCTCTGTAGTAAATTTGCCGTAATATTTTCACTGAGTAGCCTCTCCCTAATAAAGAACAAATAGAAGAATGAAAAAATGAAAATTATTGGCCAATACCAGCTACAACATGAAGCTTGGTAACTACATCTGAAGGACATCAGACCTAATTGAGTCACATACCTGTGTCCTATTACAAACCGAATGACAATGCATTTTTCCTCCTCAAGCTTCTTTAGCTTATCACCTGCTTAACCGCAAGTCGATAACAGAATTTTCAGTAGGCACCTCGTTGTAGTACATGTGCACACATAAGTCAGAACACACTGTTAATGAAGTGTCAAGAACCTTGTGGCATCCAGGTAGCACGAACTGAGTCTCTTCTTTTCCGGCTGCTAAAGGCAGTGTTTATCCCTATGACCATGAGATATTTTCTCTTCTTGGTTAATTCAGGGATCTTCAAATCTTGAGTTATTGGAGAACCACTCATTATAGAATCCTGCAACGCCCTCGCTGCAGCTAATTCCATCTCCAGATTTGAGATTGTTTTATCCAGGGTTCTGCATTTTATTAAATAAAAAAGTGATAAGCAGCTCTTACTTTTTCAATACTTATATCGAAAAAAATGATCCTCATAAAATTTACGAATAACAAGCATAAGAAACTTACTGTATAGCATGATCCGTCTTTGAAACTTCCCCAAGAATATCCTTGGATTCACTTTTTACATCCTTCCACTAGAAACAACAAGACCAAAGTCATTAATTCCCAATAAGCTTGAATATCAGAGTACCTAAGATTACATTGCTGTCCACTTTTCTTGCATGAAATTCACAGTTGTAGGATCACAGTCCGCACGCACTAACCCTACCTTTTGATCATCAACCTGTGTTGTCCTTGATATGCTTTTAGCTTCAGGCACTTTCCACATTCTACAACCATAATAACGCAATTAACAGTGAACGCACATATGCTCATGGCATAAAGAATAAATTGGACAGAGTTGCAACGGAGAAGCGCACAGCTGGAAAAAATATTCTAACTTCGACATCACAATATTCAAATCAAGGAATAAAAAGTCTCTGTTACGAGGCAAAAAATCTAGGCTAACGACAATGACAGCTGTGGTGTTTTTAAACACCCATATCAGTAAATTTTCTTGAACTTGAAAAGCATTCACCTCCAACTAGTCAGACCACGGAAGAGAAAATGTCCATTAAGAAATAAGCTTACCTTCTAATGCACCAGCGATGAGACCAACAGCAACAAGAACGGTTTTGCAAGCAATGGGAGGAAAACGGATTTTAGCAATTTCAGGTTCTAATCAGTCTCAATACCACGCAATCGGCTTCATTGAACGGTGAAGAAATCGACAATGGATGTACAATAGAACAGATTTTGTTTTTGGACATTCTCAATACACACAATCGGCTCCTTTGTCGGTTCATGTGCAAGTAGGAAACTACAACCTCATGCAAAGGACAAAAGCATAAACGTAACAACTGACTTGCATTTTACAAAGTCACAAAGTTACTTTAAGATTAAATCATTACAAGCATTGCTACAGTATTCATCTCAACACTTAAAACCAATAGCCTAAATGGAACCTATAATTTCCTAAATTATATAGACAAAGTCTAAAGACCCATTATAATCCATATCAGCAAACTATAACAAACACAGACACCAAAAAGCTTCATTTGTTTCATTTTACGTGACATACTTTCATTTCTAATTTGTCTAAAAAATAATAACACCTCTCTATATTTTGAAAATAATATAACTTTAAACCTTTTATTTTCATTTTAGCCGCATGCATAGCCACACAAATGAGACAAAGAGGGTAATAAACTGCAAGATTGAGATAGGAAGACAAATACTTCAATAAAATTCAAAAGCATCATAATCCAATCAAAAACAGAAATGAAATGCATATATAGATGAAAGAAAGAACCTGTGGGTGAAGAGCATTCCAGCACAGAAGCAGACAATACAGAGAAATATGGTCAAATTTCGAGAAGCAACGCCTTTTAAAGCTGATTCTGCTCTTTTATTTTTCCAGTTCATTGTACTCTTCATTGCTTAACCAACTCAATAGAGCTAATTCAATTAGCAATATCCATTTAGACTCTCAAGTCAACCCAATTAGTACAGCTTTTCTCTTACTAAACAAGATGTCAGAAGAGAAGTGACTAACAATTTTTTTTTATGGATCCTTGAATTGTCTCTTTTGCCAGTTTTATTGGAAATATTTCTGCACTATTAACTGAGAATGAGCAGTAGGGGTGAAGTAGAAGAAGAAGAAGAAGAAGGTATTGACAGTTTTGTGGAATACACTTCCCTTCCCTTCTTTTTCTTTTCATTTTTTATCATTTATGTTTCTCTTTTCTTTTGTCCTTGACCGTAGTATGTCCTTCGTCTGCCTTTGTCGGTCGGTGAACGTTACAAATACAAAAGCCACCTTCAACTTGGTGGCCAATTGTATGATTGAAAAGACTTGCACGATAACAGTGGCTACTAACTAATAAGTAAGAGTTAATGCGCAAATACATATGGTATATTTATTGATTTGACACTAATATTATGTAAATAAGATTTTTCTCACTATTCAATTTTTTTCGCTCGAGTGAACTTCCATCATCAATTGAGATAGTCTACTCCATTGATTGTTTTATTGCGCCTCCTTGTCATATTTCATTTGGCCCATTACGATTAATGGCAGAATGTGCTAAACATTCTGCTTGAAATATATAAATGTAGAACTTTAATTTATCAGAATCCCAAAGAGAAAGGAAGTGAAGAGGATAGAACTATTGGTGCTCATCACCTCCCCCTCCCCTCTCTGTATATAGGATTTTGCTAGATTAGTATTATACGCATTTTTGCTTTTTCTTAAATATCCTTAACGAGACATTAATAACATTTCAATGAAAAGCAATATTTTTGTTAGGTTTAGAATTTTTAATAATGATCAATAATCAAAAGCGCTTTGACGAATGCCATTTCACTTTGCGTGCAGATTCACAATAGCTCTAATGCAAGAAATGAAAGAAAATCATATAAGCATATCAGATGGAGCCAACGGCAATGTTATTCAAACTCCATATCAAATGAATACCAAGATGGAAAAAGAATCAATCAAACAAGCAATAAGGAAGAAAAGACAATCAATCAAACGAGCAAAAGATTCTCGAGCATGCAAGGAAGGAAAGAGAGTCAGTCAAGGAAAATCTGCGAGAAGTTAATTGGAGGAGCCAAACTTCAAACTGAGAATGAATCTGGCCATACCTCTCAAGATAGATTCATGTCACGACCCTATTCCCCGGATCCGGTCGTGATGACGCCTCGTGAAGACAAGGCCAGCCAATTAAACCCAATTTACCTTTTTAAACAGTTAAACAACATAAAGCAGTCTAATATATATTTTAATAATATTAAGTAGCGGATAATATCAATAAAGTGCGGAAGTACAACCAAACACAGCCCTAACCGGGGTGTCACAAGTCACGAGCATCTAACAATACTGAATACTCAAATGTAACTACAGAGTTTAATACTGAACTAAGAATATAAAAAGGAAAGAGATAGGGAGGAGCTCCGGGCTGCGAACGCCAACAGCTACCTAAAGACTCCTCGAGATCCGCCTAAAGCTGGAATGAATCAGCACTCGGGAGCAGGACCAGCTACGCCTAAATCTGCACACAGGGTACAAGGAGTAAAGTGAGTACTCCAACTCAGTGAGTAACAAATGTAAATAACGACTGAAAGTAAGAAAACACGTAAGGCACAAGGCATACTATAATGAAGCAGTAAAACCTTTTAAAAAAACAGTAAATCAGTGAAGAGTCAAGTAAAATCCTTTTCCAACAAATAAACAGGTAACTGACAGGCAGTTAAGGTAAAGTAAACAAATAGAATTTCGCCCCTCGGGCACAGTATCCACAAATCCGCCCCTCGGGCAACATCTCAGAAACAATACCAGCCCCTCGGGCTCAATCTCACATCACAATGGGTACCCCCGCTCACTGGGGGTGTGCAGACTCTTGGAGGGGCCCCTTACGGCCCAAGCACAATATCAAGCCATCTCGTGGCATCATAAACAGGCTCTCGGCCTCATATCAATATCAAGCCACCTCGTGGCGTACATATCTCAGGCCCTCGGCCTCAAATCAGTACCAGTGTTTCCTCACAACATAGGCCCTCGGCCTTACTCAGTCAAAAATCCTCACAAGCCCCTCGGGCAATAATAAAACAGTATTTCTCAACCCAAACATCATTTAAAATATCATTTTAAGTCTTAAAACTGAGTACACATGGCTGAGTATGAAAACGGTGTAAAATAACAGGACTAAGTTTAAGTATAAAGTCAAAACAGTGAGGAAATATCAATGAAAAGCCCCGAAGGGTTCAAATAGTTGGCACTATGCCCAAATATGGCATTCAGCCCAAATAATGATGATAGCAAATAGTTTTTTAATCAAATACGCGGTAAAATCATCAATCGGGGCGGACCAAGTCACAATCCCCAATAGTGCACGACCCCACGCTCGTCATCTAGCGTGTGCCTCACCTCAACATAGCACTACGATGTGCAATCCGGGGTTTCAAACCCTCAGAACATCATTTACAATCATTACTCACCTCGAATCGGCTAAATCTCTAGCTCGCAACGCCTTTGCCCCTCGAATCGGCCTCCACGCGCGTCGAATCTATCCAAAATCAGAACGAGGACGTCAAAATATGCTAAGGGAACGAAGCCCAAGCAAAAATAATCAACAATTAGTACAAATCCCAAAATTACCAAAACCCGACCCCCGGGCCCACGTCTCGAAATTCGATAATTTTTACACCAATAGATTCCTTATCTTCCCACGAGTTCATACATACCAAAAACTCAGAAATCCGACCTCATATGGCCCATCAAAACCTCAATCCTAAGTCTCCAATCCTAAACCCTAGCTTTCCCCCAATTTCACCCTCAATTTCCACAAATTCTAGCTCTAATCCATGAAATAATAGCATAGGAACGAGTTTTAGGTCCAAAATCCTTACCTCAATGAAGTTCCCTTGAAATCCCTCTTCCAAATCGTCCAAAAGGTTCCCAAGCCGAAGTCAAAAATGGTGAAATAGCTCAATTTCGCGAAATGAAATAACTTATATGTTCTGCCCAGTCCTTTCCGCATCAGCGGCACTTCAACCGCATCTGTGGTACTGCATTTGCGGTTAAATCCTCCACTTTTGTGGAATTCACTTAAGAGCCCAAAATCGCATCTGCGATAAGCCATCCGCACCTGCGACTCCGCAGGTGCGGTCCAACACCACATCTGCGGTTCCTGGCAAATCCCCAACAATCCGCTTCTGCGGCTCCTCTTCCACACGTGCAGCGCCGCACCTGCGGTCCCCAAATCGCAGGTGCGAAAACACCAGAAGCAGCAACTTCAGCAGCTGCAATAACATTTCAACTTCTCTGTTAACCACCCGAAATCACCCCGAGGCCCCCGGGACCTCAACCAAAAGCACAAACATATCCTAATACCTTATTCAAACTTGTTCCAATCATCAAAACACTTCAAACAACATCAAATCAACCAAAACACCTCGGATTCAAGCCTAAGTTTCTAAAAACTTCTGAATTTCGCTTTTGATCAAAAACCCAACCAAACCACATCCGAATAACCTGAAATTTTGCACACACATCCCAAATAACACAATGAAGCTACTGCAACCCTCGGAATTCCATTTCGGTCCCTATATCAAAATCTCGCCTACCAACCGAAAATCGCCAAAATATCAACTTCGCCAATTCAAGCCTAAATCTTCTCCAAAACCCATTCCGATCACACTCCTAAGTCCCAAATCACCTCCCGAAGCTAACCGAACCATCGGAACTCACATCTGATCCCTCTAACACATAAGTCAACATCCGGTTGACTTTTCCAACTTAAGCCTTCTTAAAAGAGACTAAGTGTCTCAAACTTCACCAAAACCAATCCGGATTCAATCCGACCAACCCAATACCTCAAAACACGGATAAACAAAACATAAAGAAGCAGAAATGGGGGAAACGGAGCGGTAACTCATGAGACGACTGGCCGGGTCGTCACAATTCATGAGGCTACCCTTGGGTCCTACTCTCAGAAGACTATGCCTCGCAAGGAAAGACCTCCAATCAATGATCTTTTGCAATCCCAGAAAAGAGAAATCAGAAGCCTCATCGAGCACTATTAAAGAACAAGTGGAAGGACAAGGAATCTTACGCAACTTAACATCTATTTCTATACCTTTCCAGTTCTTAGTACAAACACTGTATTCTTGAGTCTACAAGTGTTGCAAAAGATAGGAAGAGTTAGAAAACAAAACAAGAGTTGTGTCATAGTTAGACAAGCAGTGTTGCTTAATATCGTTGGTGGTGAACGTACTAAAACCATCACTGTTGCAAAGACTAATTGAAGATCTAAGAGAACCCTTGTGACCCAAGGGAACTGGACGTAGTAACCACACCGATACTGAACCAGTATAAAATTGATGTGGCTCCTTTACTTTTCTATTCTGCATAATTTACTTCTGCTGCAATTGTTCCTACTGTGAAGTTTAGTCGACTAATTCCTATCTTAGCCAACTAAGTTTTAAAATCGGTTACAATTTATCCCCCCCCCCCCCCTTGTACTTTCAATTGGTATAAGAGCGAGGACTCACAAATATTGCCTAACAACAAGTGAGAAAAAGATCATGGCATCAAACACAATCGTCGGAGCACTATTCCAAGAAGGAATTTCTTAGGTACGACCTCTTTACTTCAATGGCCAGCTCTTCTCACACTGGAAAGTGCGTATGGAAACCTACACTATGTCATATGAGAATAAGGTGTTGCATATGATCAAAAAGGGAAATCTTCTGATTCCGCTAAAGAAGGACAAAGATGGTGAGATCATAGTACCATCTGATCCTCTCGACTTAGATGAGTACTCTGAAGAACAAGCGGTTGTTATCCAAGTGAATGCCAAAGCAAAAAATCTCCTGTATAATGCCATAAGCGGAGAAAAGTATGAAAAGATATCAAGCTGTGAAACTACAGAAGAAATGTGGGACAAGTTAGAAGTCACATATGAAGAAACAAACAAAGTGAATGAAACAATGATCAATCTCCTAGTTCGTGACTATGAATTGTTTCAAATGAAAGATGGAGAATCAGTGGAAGAAATGTTCTCCCGACTCAGCAAAATCCTTTCAGACTTAAAATCATTTGGTAGACCAATCAGAAGTGGAGTACAAGTCAGGAAAATTCTAAGAAGTCTTCCCACTATTTGGCAACCCAAAGTCATTGCTCTAGAATGTCTGGTCTTGACAAGATGTCT